ATTTATCCATTACAAATTAGAAAATGAAATAAAGGATGAAAGAAGTGAAACAGGAAAAACATTTAAGGGTTAAATGAGTGCCTTTTAATTTGTTTGAACTTGGTGTTGCGTTCTCTTTGATTTTGGGCAACACCACAAAATTATAGAATGGGACACGAGAGCAACAAATGTTTATTGAACTTGCCGATTAAATGTTTGACTCGTTATTCTCCTCGCGGAACAAAAGCCCAACATAAATAATTAGCGCAGTAATTTAATACCGGATCGATTTGAACCAGGAGTGTGAAACATTTATTACAGGAGGGTCAGATACAAGTAACTGGGTGACGGTGCGCACCTGTATACTCTTTGTTTCCGGATATCTCATATATTCACACTCCGCCATCCTTGGTCATAATATGACAATAATAGTTATTTTCGGGCTATTCTACGTTTATGTTTATGTTGTGTGAAATATTATATAATATCTATGATCCATGCTTGAGCCGAGTGTTCGTAACCACGGTGACGTCAACATATTGTTTTTGTAAATTTTTCGTTTTACTACTAAGTGAATTTTATTTGTGTAAGTATTTCAAAGCTTAGAAATACAGAAAGAGTTTGTCATTACTTCAAAGATAAGTTTTTTGAACGAACGAGAAACAATTTCACGCACATAATAAACAAACAATATTCCAGACAACTATCTATCGTAAACATGCTCTCGCATACATTGATTATTTCGCGTTTCGTTTCGCTTGCGAAGCTCAGTCTGGTTTTTCTGCAAATACTGTTAGTAAAAAGCGACAAAAAACTCTTTCCAGCGGGATATTGAGGGCGTTTCTTGTACGTTTGATTAACTAGTTATTACATATTATGAAATGGGTACAAAAGTCTATTTGGAACAGCGGAAAGTGGGTTGCTAACAATGTTCCCTCTAATTTTTTGTAGTATGTGTGCGCAGAAATTTTGGTGTATGCGCACTTTTTTGGAAATGACTAATATTTGTGCCAAAATCAATGAAGAAATTTTGGCGTTTAACCGGGTAATGGGTGGGTCAACAACAAACTTTCTCAACCTGCCAACCGAGAACATTGTTACATTACATCGAAATACGACTGTGCGCAGTAAATCTATGCGTGTGCGCAGACTCTGAAAGCTGTGTGCGCGCGCACACGCGCACACTCTAGACTAGAGGGAACACTGGTTGCTAACCTTCATGGTAGTGGTAGGCACAGAAAATTGTCCTTTTTGTGTTAATGATCTCACGGGGGCGTTATGGCTGAGAATATGGGTGCTTGGAGGTTACTGCGTTAATTCAAATCGAAGCAGTAATTGTGTCTTTTATTTGCAAATGGAAAATAGAATAAGCTCCAATACCCTCAACTCTAAAATCTCATATTTAATTCCCCTTTTCTACGAGTTATGAACAATAACATGTACGTATTGCAAATAG